AACCCTAAAAAGATCTCTGTGAAACCAAAAAAAAGAAACACTCATTTCATCTTTTGTTTTTGTTTTTTTTTTCATTGTGTTTATGTTTTTTATTTTGAGAAAGTATATAGCCGAAGCTCTAAAAATAAAAATAAAAATACGAGGTTGTAGATCTCAAAAAGATCTACAATCCCATATTTTTTGTTTCGTTTTTTCAACTTTTGATAATTTTTAGCCCGTCCCGATGAAACCGATTGCTTCGGCGTTTAAATGCCAAATCAACGGAACTTAACGGCCGTTGAATCATTCAACGTGGAACCCGCGTTGAATCCAATTTCAGACACACAGCCCTGCACTACTTTAAGCGCTTCGATAGCCGTTACTATATTGTTGAATATCGAGCGCCCCTGTACAAATGAGCCTTGATCTTTAGCCACAAGCTCGGGCAGGTATCTCGCCAGTCTCCTAGCTAAAGATTTAGGTAGTACTTTGTAGGACACATTCAGCAGAGTCACTTCTGCCTTGTCGCTCTTCTTGATTAAGACGACAATAACTCCATGAGTCATGCCCTTTCCCAGTTTGCCTCCTAACAAAATCCCGTCGAGCAGTTCGACCAGCAGGGGTCTGAAAAGAGTCCAGTTGGCAATGTAGAACTGTACAGTAAAACCGTCCACACCTGGGGACTTACCCTTCGCCATAGACTTAACTGTCGGGGTGATTTCCGCCAATGCGAGTGGGTGGTCAACGTCCAGCTTGGCTACGGTTTGAAGTTTCACCACCATGTCGTCCCACATGTCAGATTCCAGAGAAGGGTACGAGTCCATTCCATCTTGAGGTAGTCTTGAGATCACAATGTCCGAGTAGTGGAATCTTGCATAGTGAAGCATGCCCGACGTTGAACGCGCTATGGGGGCCGAGGTGTCAAAGTGATGCCGCAGTTCAATCATTTGTTGCTGTGTCCTTCTAGGCTGCAGTCTCTAAAATGACTCTTTTGTCATTTTGTCATCAGTTTCCACCCCCTTCACCTTCAGAATCTCCACCCATCTTTTCTGTTTCTCCTCCTCAATGTTGTCCCAGTCTGCCAGCCTCCTTTCTCTTTCGGCTGCCCACACCATGACTGAGATAGTGTATGCCTCCATTCGGTCTTCTGCCTCCTCTATTTTTCTCTAGCAATCTGATTTCCTCTTATTTCTCTCTGTGGCCAAAATCCTAGAGTACACATCAGGAGGTGATTGCAGTGCCTCCATCCAACCACTCCGCCTCTGTTTCGAAGCGAGGGCGAGCCTCCTCCCATCAAGGCATATGATCCTTGAAGGCTTGACCCATTCCCCAATGCCTGGTACCTCTAGGATTTTTTTTTTTTTTTTTTTTTTTTTTTTCGAGAGGTACCTCTAGGATTTGACTTCCCAGGCGGAAGAATCCTCTTCCCCTCTCTATGCCTGATGCCTACCGGATATCAACAACCACTGGTTTGTGGTCTGACAGGGGGTGGCAGATCTGGCAGACCGAACTAATCTTTTCCATTACCTGTTCACTCAGCAGGAAAAAGTCCAAGTGCCTCTTGGTGACGGCTTGTATGTCCCTGTATAAGTCGAATACCAGGTATAACCTGGGTCATCCGGGTTTAGGACTGGGAAAGGATCTGAAAGAGACAGCTCTGTCCTGAATTCCAGCAGCTCGTGCATATCCTTCCCGTCTGCAGATCCAGCCCCTAGTCGAAGAGCTTTGTCCAGAGCCACGTTCCAGTCCCCTGCCAGTAGCAGTCTGCCGGTCCTTGGAGCGTGTGTCACCAATCTGGAGAAAAAAAAATGGATCTTTCACCCATCTCCATCGGTGCGTAGATTGTCATGAGCACCTAGTCTTCCCCTCCTATTTCCACTTTCATCCACGCCCATCTTCCCGATTAGTCTGCCGCTGAGTCGATAACCAGCGCTTGAAGCTCTCGGTGGACTAGTATACCCACGCCTCTGTGTGTTCCTTGAGCGGGGGCCCAGACCTCCGGTCCATCCCACCACGTAGTGAAGTCCCTCAACTTTTCTTCATTTAGCTTGGTTTCTCGCAGCAACACATGTTTGATCTTCCACTCATGTAGCCATGGCTTTCGCCTCCTGCATTTCGTTCTGCCATTTGAGTCCCCGAGCCCTCGCACGTTCCATGTCACTGCTCCAAGTTTGTCCATCTGGATGCACTGCGACCGCCGTAGATTGGATTCGGGAGGTTGATACTAGTTGCCGTTGATCCACTGCTGTGTTTCTGACACTTGTCTTTGAGTGGTCCCTTGAACGGCGGCCCGAGCTACTCCTGGAGGAACTTGCTCTGGACACGGACCTCCGTTCCTCTCACAGACTTACAAGTTATAACCGAAGTGTCTGAAGATTCTCCACCACCAGTAATTTCTTGTTTATATTCATAAGAACAAGGGCTGAAATGCCAGGGAGGATTTTGATGGCCTCGAGGTCTTGTATGTTGCTTTCTTGAACCAGGTCTCCAGTCTGAGCCAAGAGATTCGCAGTCTCTGGTGGAATGCTGGCATCCAGGATGGGGGAAGTACATCTTGAAGTTTTTTTTTTTTTTTTTTAACAGAAACTCAGGTTTCCGGCTCCTTGTCCATTCTGGGGAGCATCAGTCAACTGATTCACAGATAACATACGCCATCGTGTAGTGCGGGATCATCCGAACTGGCGCGTGCTCACCACATAGCGATCTCGTGACTTCCATGATCAGAGAAGGTGAGGGCGATCGGTCCACCTCGTTGGATGGGATCTTTGGGGTGCCGTCTTCATCGGTAAGAGCTAGGAAGAAAACCCGATCATTAGCTCTGGTAGATGAGGTAGCAGGCATCTTTGTACGGTCCCCATCTGGTTCCTTTCTGGTGCTTCTGGTCTTAGGCTCCTGTCAATGTAGGATTCTTGCCTTCCCCCTTGGCCGTCTCTCTTTTTGGTGCTCGAGTGTGCTGAGCTCTCCAAGGATGAAAAAGACTCTGATTTGTGAAGAGCCTCCTGTCAGCACTCGCTACCCCTCCTAACTTTGGAACGAGAGGAGGCCGAGGTTTTCGACAGTTCTTCTTGGATCGCTGGGAAGCTCGCCGGTCAGGAGCCTTTGTCCCACAAATGGGTGCCTTCCTCATCACCTCTTTTCCCCTATCCTCTGACTCACATACAATTACATGTCTCCTCACCGGCCATGGAGGACAAGCTTTGCCTCCAGGTTTGAGTAGGGTCATCTCGGCTGCGCCTACTGTCTTCTTTCCTAGAAGCCCATCTCCTGTTACTTGTGGACGCCTATTTCCCCCACCTCTCTCGTCTCACCTGGAGAAGTCTAGCGAGGGTGTGCCTCTTGCTGTAGCCTTATGTGTTAGGTTCCGCCAATCGTAGCTATCCATTGGATACCTTGGTTGGGGGTGCTCCTTTTTGATGAAGTAGATGCGGCAGGGGCGGTTCCCTGAGCTGGTGCAGGTAGTCCCCGTGTTCGCATCCGTTTGGGTTTTCCTACCACGACATGTGCACCGGAGGATCCACCACCAATCTGTCCAGTTGATGTCCCATCTCCATTACATCTCCCAGCCATTCCCTCCTTGGACCCAGGAGGGCTGCGTGCCGATCTCCTGTTGCCCACCCAAGCTTTGTGACCCTCTTAGTTGGTCGCCCCCATGCAGACGGATGTCTTTCATGCTCTGAGCTGTTGGACATGGTTTACCTGGGACTGAGGGGGACTGGGTATAGCGGGTATTGTCCACCTAATTCTCTCTCTCTCTCTCTCTCTCTCTCTCTCTCTCTCTCTCTCTCTCTCTCTCTCTCTCTCTCTCTCTCTCTCTCTC